TGGGGGTGACAGGTCCTGGCCGCAGCACCTCACCCTGGGCTCTGGACAGGAGACAAGGGCCAGCTTGCATGTGCATCTCTGGGCCTGCATGCCCTCTCCCCGGAGGGCAGGGCACAGCCGGGGGCGCGTGGCCCTGTCCTCCTCGTATGCACTACAGTGAGCCCTCTGCCCTCAGTGCCTCCTCGCTGGGCTGCCTGGCAGATTTTCAGCCTGACTGGCCCTGCCCCGGCGGCTGCCCTTGCACAGGTGAGGTGGTCAGAGAGATGCCCAGGAACACAAAGATGCCCTGGAGAGCTCCTCAGGGGTCCTGTGCTCTGCTCAGCCCCACACTCTCGGCCCTCGCACTGCTTCTGGACTCCATACACCCAGGGGAACGTGGCTGGGTCTTTCCTACATCCCCCTGCAGCTCCAGCCAGCGCTTTCTAAATTTCTGTGTCTGATGCAAGGTGGAGAAACAACTCAAATGTCAAAGGGAAGAGCCCATGGGGCACTGAGCTGCTGGGCAGGTGGCAGGCTCTTCCTCTGAGCACCAGGGTGACCTGCAGGCAATCCTGGGCTGCAGGGGAGCAGCTGTGATGCCTGCACAGGCTCAGCAAGGCTGGGGGAGAAGGGCTGGGGCATGCTTGGTCCTGCATGGGAATTGCTGTGAATGGCTCTGCTACCTAGCCCTGTCCCTGGAGGGAGAGTGAGCAAGTGAGAGAAGCTGCTGAATCCATAGGGGAAGAAGCAGCTACTGTAACTTTTTTTTTTTTTTTAAGTTAAAGACAAAAGAAGCCTTGGAGAGAAAAAAAAAAAAAGAAAAAAAAGAAAATTACTTTATTTTTCTAAGTGTTAAACTCAGTATTTATGTAATTCTTTAAGGAATAAAAGTTTGGCTCCTGTACAGTTTTAATGGGGTTTGTACCAGGGGGATGGGAGAGGGGTGGGTGGGCGGGCATGGAGGCAGGAAAGGGGCCTTGCTTTTGAGTTTGTATTGTAACCTTGGACATGTTCCCTCAGCATTAGCGTTTAAGCTGCACTCTCCATCCACCAGCATGTGCCAGGGATCAAGCTGAACCGAGTGGGATGCTTGTTTCCTACCTACTTGTAACGAGGACTTCATGCCCATAATTTTGGGCTTAACGGGCAGAAGTCAAGTGAAGACCAGCAGTGGCTGGCCTCTGGAAGTGGTAAACCCATTCCTCAGAAGCAGGCAGTTTGCAGTGTGCCCAGGAGCCAGAGGTGGGCTGGGTTTTCTGATGCCCTCCCTGTTCACTTCTGGTCCAGGGACCTACAGCTGTTCTGTCACTGTCACTCTTAGCACGGAGCAGTGGTGCCTGTGACTGCCTAAGGGATATGGGCGTCCCCACTCCTCCCTGTGGTGAGTGACCAGCAGTGGCTAATCCCTGTTCTCCTGCTTGCTGTGCAGGCAGCCTCTCCTGAACTCCTGGGTGACAATCTGAGCTGTACCTCCCCCTCTACAGCCATTCTGCAGCGCACAGATGGGGATAGGTCTCCTCCAAGCTCCCTGTGCAAAGAATTCCCAGAAGAGCCTTTCAGCCCTTGATCTGTTAGCAGCCTGGGAAGGGCTTGTTGGGGAGTGGCCCATCTGGTGAGGGTGATGTTGCATGCTGCCTCCCCTTAGAATTCTTGTTCTAAGAGTGATGCAAACCCTGCAGCTCAGAGCATGTGGGAGTGCTGAGCCATGTCCCATGGCTCGCTGTAGGAAAACTGCTCCGTGATGCTTCCAAAACCACATAGGTACCTAGGAGTTCATCCAGGGAGAAGTGTGGGATCAGAGTTTGCATTGTCCTTTGCCCCAGCACATCACTGTGGCCTGGCTTTGCTCTGCTTTGCTTCTGCTGGCACTATAGAGCAGAGCTGTTGGGCCAGAAGAGCAGGAGAGCCCCTGCTGCTGCAGGGTGTGTGACTGCATTCCCTCCCTGGCTCCCCAAAGGCAACTGCTGGTTAAACGCTAATGGTGTATTTTATTTAAGTGCAGACTTGTAAGAACACTTGTGTATCAGGGATGAAATGGCATTTATTGTGTGGTGACATTTTTAGTTCATTTTACTGGTTTGAGGGGTGTGTGTGTGCGCGCGTGTGTGTGTGTGTACGCATAAGTGTGTGTGGGATTATTTTTTTTTCCCTCCAGTTTCCAGGGTTGTGTTTCTGGAAGGATGTGGAAGTAATCACAGTACTATGTACAGAGCTTTCTTTTGTATTAAAAAAAAATTTACTCTTTCAATAAATGTTATCATTTTGTGCACAGATTTGGGATCTTGACCATGCTTTGCGGGAGGGGATGACGCACACCTTGGGGCCAGCAGATGGGGATCAGGGGCAGATTCCTGCACCTCCTTGTGTGCTGAGGAGGATGGGGAGCTATCTGAGCATGACGTGGCAAAGAGGGGCTCTTCACAAAAGTTTCTATCCCTACTGCCCCCTGCACAGGTTATTCCTGACCACCTGGACTATCCTCTGGAGTCTCAGCCTAATCTGTGGGCCAGAGAGGGCCAGTGCCTGACAGAAGTGCTGTGAGGGCTCTTTCCTGAAAGCTCTGGAACAACGTCCCTGGTGAGCAGGGCATTGTGTCAGTCAAGAGAAATAAAAACCAGCAATGAGGAGGAACGGGGGATTTTGGAAAAGAATTGTTCTAATGCATGGGTGTTAATAGGGAGGAACAGGGAGACTTAAATTCCCTGCAGAAAACTGCTATGAGAAGACATGGCAATATTCAAAATCCAGTCTGGACAGACATTAAAGTCAGATCAAGGACACTAGGAGGCTCAGTAAAGTGTCCAAAGGTGTGAATAAACCCAGAGGGAGAAGGGCTCATTGCAATCATCAGGGCTGCTGGGGCCAGAGTATGCCAGCTCAAAATGCAACTGCCAGCCACTCCACAGCATCAGGTCCTGGAGCAGATGCCAGTATAGTGTGAGGAAAGCTGAGCACTGATAAAAGTGCAGTTTGGAAAAAACCCCTACCTCAGGAGGGAAGAGGATTGTACAGAAAGTGCTTAGGAGCACAAGACAGCTGAAATGGCTCTTTCCCCTCACTTCTAGCCCTGTGCCTACACAGCTGTGGCTCGTGGTTCAGCACTACAAATGCCCTTTCAGCACAAGCAATCCCACATCACCTGTGCACCATGGAGCAAGATACCACAGATACATATCTTCATTTTCAGGGAAAAAGACTTACTAAGTGTGGAGACCATCAGAGCAAAGACATAAGCAGGCCGTGTGAATACCATAGAAAAACTCTCCTTGTCACAAACAAGTTGTCTTGGTAGTGAACGGGGAAGGAAAATGACATATCAATTGAAAACAGAGATTTCAAGAGCATCCATGGCATTCTGGAAAGAAAGTATCAATAGCAACAACAGAGATCACGTGTACAAACAGAGAAATTAAGAGTGTGGCTTGGAAACACAAACCTTTACAATCCACCATTGGTGCCACGGGTTTAGAGGATGGTGTCCACAAACTGATGCAGCACTGCACTGTTTTATCCAGCCTATAATTAATTGCAATTATATTGTTTGGATTAATTGCTGATTGCTACTGCAAAACATGGAAATTGTCTAATCCATTTCATTAGTAGTGAGGGTAGAAATTAGGTTGGGCACATACAAGTTGCTCCAGGATCAAATAAGAAAGCAAAGTTTCATCCAGTTAGCTGATGATTTAATGATTGTTTATAATTTAAAACAAATCTTATCAGACTGATAGGAACCTGCACCCCAAGGAAGGGCAGTATGGGCACAGGATAAGAATTTAGATTTTATAGTATGGGCATTTCAGATCAGTGTGACACCAGAGCTGGAAAGGAGCTGGAAGCAGGCCAAACTTGTGTGCAGCTGGCTTCAACTGGCTCTCCAGCAACACTGAGAACAGGGCAGTCTCAGAGCCCCAAACCTGCCTGGAGCCAGCGCAGCTGTCACTGAAGCCAGCAGGGTGGATGGAGGGTGGGTGCAGGGCTGGAACCACCCCAGGGCCAGAGGCTGGCACTGCTGCACTGTAATTCTTGATCAACGGTGCATTTGCAGTAATAATATTAGTGCTGACATGACATGCTTTTAGCCTTCCTGCCACCCATGCTGCCACTGCCCTTGATGAAGACAGCTGATCACCAGAGCAATGGTGCCAACACACAGCACAGCGTTACCACCTTACCGAAAAGCAGCTCACTCTAGCAGATGCCTTCTTCAGCTTGCAACTTCCATTTCTGACATTAGCCAGGGAAATCAGAAGATATTCCAATCTTTCACCTTTTTCCACCGCTCACCGCCGTTCCTGGTGTGGGGGAACAGCAGCTTTGGGACCCACGGCCCCAGACAGGCTCAGGGGCCAGCTCAGGCCTGGAACGCCTTTGGGAGCCATGAGCTGTCCTGAGGGAGCCTGGGGGGCAGCCAGCAGTGCTCTCGTGGCACATTCCCAATGGAATCCCGGGCTGCATTAGGAGCTGCACTGCCAGCAGGTCAGGGAGGTGATCCTGCCCCTCTGCTCAGCCCTGGGGAGGCCACTCTGGAGTGCTGTGCCCAGTTCTGGGATCCTCAGGACAAGAGAGACGTGGAGCTCCTGGAGTGGGTCCAGCAGAGGGTGCCAGAGATGATGGAGGGACCGGAGCACCTCAGCTCTGAGGAGAGTTTGGGGGAGCTGGGCCTGCTCGGAGACACCGAGAGGAACCTCATCCATGTCTGCCAGGGCCTGCAGGGAGGGGCCGGGGCACGGACCAGGCTCTGCTCAATGGCAGTGGGACAGGAGGCAACGGGCAGGAGCTGAGGCTCAGGAGGTTCCACTGAACGTGAGGAAGAACTTCCCTGTGCAGTGCCCGAGCACCGGGACAGATTGCCCAGAGGGGCTGTGGGGTCTCCCTCACTGGGGACAGTCAAGAACCATCTGGATGCAACCCTGTGTCAAGTGCTCTGGGATGACCTTGTTTGAGCAGGGAGGCTGGAGCAGATGACCCACGGCGGTCTCTTCCAACCTGACCCATCCTGGGATTCTGAGGGACGGCGGGGACACGGCGGAAGGCGCAGCTCCCGCCACTCCCGTGTCCCTCGCCGCCTCCCGTAGGGGGCGCGGAAGCTGCGCGCTGTTTCCGGCGGCTCCCGGTGGCGCCGGGGCCGCTCCGGGGCTCGGGCCGGGTCGGAGCGGCGCCTCCAGGGCCGCTTCCTTCCTCCCGCCTCGGCGGTGAGTCGGCTCCCTGTGGTGGGGCATCTAAGCACTGTGACAAAGCACGGGAGAACAAGTTGGTGTTTTTATTACAGAGGCTGCAAGAAGATTCCCGTCTGGCATGCTGCAAATTCCAAGGAAGGCAGCACAGTCGAAGGTGAGCGTGTGTGTCCTGGGAGTTCGGGCTGCTTCTCTCTGCACCTGGAAAATGTTTTTAATGTGCCTGTCATAGTCTTTGATGGTTAGTGTCTTCTTTGGTTAAACACAGATTGTTTTTCTGGTGTCTTGCTTCACTGCTTCTCTTGCCAGTGTGTGTGAGTGGCAGGAGCGTTTCCCAGTGCCACCTGGCTGAGCTCCTCCCTGTCAGCCTGCTCTGGAATCCTGTGTGAGCTCGGTCCCTGGTTGTGTCTGCAGCTGGCTTGCTGGTTGCTGGCACTCGGTCTTGGACAGCAAATTATTTCCATGCTGCTTTTTGCATGGGTGAAAGCAGAGAAGCACTGTGTGTTCTGTGTGGTCCCAAGATGCAGAACAGTCAGGTAACTGAGAGTAGAACTCTTTTAGTTCTGTGGAATTTGTCCGTTGATGAAACATTGTAAGGGCAAGGAATTCTGAGAAGAGGGCAAGGAGGAAACACTGAGAGACTTTCGGGTAGTGAACCTTATATGATGTGTGTGAACTAGATCTGAGAAACTGCTCATTATTTTCTTCAGGGCTGGTGATGTGAAGGTCCCTATGCACGGTGAGAATACCGTGAGCTCTAGGTAAACTCACACTCTGAACAATTATAAATGGTAAAAAGCAAGAGGGAGAAGTGCAAAAGCAGCAACTTGTGAGGGGCGTGTTGTGGACAGTGGCAGGGATGCAAGCAGGACTAAAATGTCTCGTCATTATTTGCTGTCTTAGAAAAGGGCCTATTTTGCCTTCATGTTTTTTGTTAGTTTCCTTATTGAGGAGAATCTGCTATGTGTGCCAGTAACGCTTGGAACTGGTTTTGTTTATGAAAAAACATCTTATTTTCTTGGAAGGGGAGTGTGAGCCTCTGCAGAGTGGGTTTTCCTTTAGAGCTTTATCCTGGCTGTAGGACCTCAGGATCAAAAGCTGTGCCACTTCTGCTGTCAGCGCTGGCTCACACTTTCCCCAGCGTGCAGCTCAGAAATAAAAGCTTGACCCTGCTTCCCCTCTGTCTCTGCAGACACACCTGCTGCCATGGTGAATGAGCAGCACCATGGCACCCTGCTTGTGCAGCTGGGGCCCACGCTGCAGGCCCGCCCAGAGAAGCTGCTGCGGCAGCGGCGAGGCCGCGACGAGCGGCCGGAATACCTGGTGCGGTGGAGCGTCCTCGGCTCGGAAGAGAGAGCGGCGGGAGGCAGCAGCGCCTGCCCTGCAGAGAGCAGGGCCGAGAGCATCTCCCTGTGGATGTCTGCAGAAGAGGTGCGCGCCAGCTGCCCGGCGCTGCTGGGCCAGAGGAGGCCGGAGGGGCCGAGGCAGGAGAAGGCGGCCGGTCCCTGCTCCGCGGCCGTCCCGCGGGACGAAGCCGCGCTGGACGAAGCCTCGCTGCTGGAGATGAAGGCCGACGTCAGGAGCCTGGTGCGGCGAGCCGGGCGCCAGCTGGCCGAGGCCGGGACCCCCGCGTGCTCCATCCTGGGCACGGTGCGCGTGCTGGGCGCCTACGCCGGCATCGGCTCCCTGGCGGGCGCCTTCAGGGAGGCGGGAGCCCTGGAGCTGCTGACGGCCATGCTGTGCCACCGGGAGGAGCGGATCCGCCGCGGTGCCGGCGAGATGCTGCGCGCTCTGGGCGCTCAGGACGCAGGTGGGGGCTGCTCCTGCTCGGTGCCACTCAGGGGTGCTGGGCACTGAGGGGTGCCAGGCCTTTGGGAGGGGTGCCTGGGAAGCAGCATGGCTCGGGGCTTCTTGGCAAAAGGGGAAAATCAGTCAGGATCTTCCGGACTTCCGTGGCTGCAGTTGTCTGGACTGCTCTTGGAGTTTGAAACTCTGTTCCCTGCCAGGTTTCTGAGCTGGGATGCTGATTAACTCTTAGGAGGACTTAGGCCAAGGAGATTGGCAGAGTGTGGGGTGACTCTGCTCCAAGCTGTCAGTTGGAAAGTCTCTGGCCTATTCTTGGCAGGGAGCCTTTCCTCAGGCCCTGGATAGAGGCTGGTCCTCATTAAAGAGGAGCTGTCATGGCTTGGAATTGCCTGATGAGTTTTGGGTGCACCTGGAAGGTTGCTGGCTGTGGTGTATCCCACAGGAATTCTGGCTTTCCCTGTCCTAGTGCCCAAGTTCATGCAGCTCTGAAGTGGGGCAGATGAGGGGCTGATTCAGGTTAAAACTTGACTTCTCTTCTTCCCTGGGACCCTGTTCTGGAATCAGTTATTTGGGGTTGCTGCTTTGTGAGAATCTCTCAGGTTTAGGGGTAGAAAAAATACACCATGGAGCAAAATGTTGCCAGTCCAGAGGAAGGGACAGAAGGTGGATCAGGTGACACTGAGCAGCAAAGCTGTTCCTTCCCTGCAGCTCTGTGTGTCACAGGGAGGTGGGGTGAGGGTTGTCTTTCTGGGGCCTGAAGAGTTTTTGTTGTTGTTGTTGCAGGAATCTGGTGCCATGTGCTGCTGTCCCTGAGCCAGCAGGATGGCATTGAGCAGCACATGGACTTTGACAGCCGCTGCACCTTGCTGGAGCTGTTTGCTGAGATCACGTCCTCTGCAGAGCACTGCATGTCCTTCGAGGGGATTCACCTCCCGCAGGTGGTGCCAGAGCCACAGCCCTGGGGCACGAGGGGCCAGGAGGGCTGGGAGTGGGGGGCCAGGGCTGGTCTGGGACAAGAAGGGGCTTGAAGGTGGGCAGGTGAGCAGGACTGGCTGTTGGCAGAGCTGGCTCAGGGCCTGGGCCTGGTGAGGGGCTGGGGATGGTGCAGAGGCAGCTGCAGAGCCCGGCCTGCCAGCAGGGAGGGGAGGGTGGGCTGAGAGGTCTCTGCTGCTGCCAGCTGCTCCGGAGCTCTCCCAGGAGCCGGCCTGGGAATGAGCTGTTGGCTGAGAGAGAGCTGGGGGCTGTGCAGGCTGAGTGTGAGAGCTGTGCTTGTTGCAGATCCCTGGGAAGCAGCTGTTTGTGCTGGTGAAGCGCTACCTGTGCGTGACTTCTCTGCTGGACAAGCTGAGCAGTGGCGTGGAGCAGGGAGAGGAGCAGCAGGGCTGCGCTGTGCCCAGCCCCGTCCCTGAGGAGAGGAGCCGTGTGAAGCAGGAGTTTGAGTTCAGCATGGCCATGGCAAACCTCATCTCGGAGCTGGTGCACGTGATGGGCTGGAGCCACAGGCACAAGGCAGAGCCGCTGCGCCAGCGGGCCCCGCGGCCTCGCCCTGCCCGCTCCATCTTCCAGCACAAGACCCCGGCCAGCGCTGCTGTCCAAAAGCCTGTGTTGCCTTCAAATCCTGATCCTCAGAAAAAGCAGGGCTGTACCTTCCTGACTGCATCAGACTTCGCAGACAGCGGTGACTACACGGAGTACTTGCGGGCAAACCTGGTGCACGGCATGAGGGTGCGCCTGCTGGAGGACTCTGGTGACATTAGAGCTGGGGAGGAAGGCGAGTTTCTCCAGAGCACAAACAACATGCACACAGTACAGGTAGGTCATGGGGAGACTTCTTCTGGCTGGAATGGCAGAGGGGAGTGACCGGGGTGACTGCTGGATTCCTAATGATGCCTTTCTGTGCAGGAAGTTGAACAATAGCCGTGGCTTATTGTGTATCACTGTCTGCATCTGTCCTAGCAAAACACTCACCTTTCAGAGCTGGAGGGGTGCATTGCAGGGAAGGCTAGTCTGGTTTTGTATGAGTTGTGCCACTAAGATTTCTTAGCCTCTAAAACAGGCCTTACTAAAAAAGCCTGTCCCCATCTTTCTTACAAGCCCCTCTAAGTATTGAAAGGCCACTGTAAGGTTTCCTTGGAGCCTTCTTTTCCCCAGGCTGAACAACCCAAACTCTCTCAGCGCTTCCTCATAGCAGAGGTGTTCCATCCCTCTTACTGTTTTTGTGGCCTTCCTCTTTACCTGCTCCAACAGGTCCATGTACTGGTCTTCAGAGTTGGATGCAGTTCTCCAGGTGGGGTCTCACCAGAGCAGGGCAGAGGGGCAGAATTACCTCTCTTCACCTGCTGGCCACACTGCTTCTGATGCAGCCCAGGATATGGTTATCTCTTTGGTCTCTTGAGTGCACATTGCCAGGTCATGCCCAGATTTTCATCCACCAGTTCTGCATACTTTATATACAGCTCTTCGAGGTAGTGTTGATTATGCCCTTTGTCTGCTTTTCCCAAGGCACCTGCAGCTTGGCACTTTTGGAACAGGTGTGATTAACTGGATGCACTCATGCCTCTGCTGCTGAGATCTGTAGTAGTTGTTGGCAAAGTTAGTGTTTTTTTTAAAAATAAAGGTCCAGGTGTAACCAAGGCAAGAAGTTAGTAAAGATGGTATGCTTCAAAACTGGACAATGTGAGTGCTGAAATCTGTACAAAAATTGTGTGGTCTTCTACTTCTTTGGGAAATGGGAGGACAAATGTAGCAAGAGGATAGAAGAAGTGAGCAGATGTGAATGTCTGGATTTGTTTCACCCCCAGGTTTTACGGCAGTCAACGGGTCGGACCTACTGGGTGCGTTGGCACATTCTGGAGATTATTGGCTTTGGGGATGAGTGGGAAGATCCTGCTGCTCAGGAAAAGGAATACAGTGTGAGAAAGAGCTTCAGTCAAGACACAGGTGAGATTGTGATGCGTGTGCATATCATCTCTTCCTTTCTGATTATCCTGTGGGATAGGAGTGGTGACCTTTTACATGGCCAAACACACAGCAAGTAGCAGGCTGGGTTCAGAAAGCACTATTAGTTTGTGTGACTTTGTAAAGCTAGTTAAGGAATTGCATGGCTTGTGATTTAATGCAGTATTTTTGAACCCTAGACTTCTGACAAGATGTATAATGAAAGTAATGATATAAAGAGCATAAAATTTGATTTAAACTGCAACTGTCAAAACTTTGTGTTTGAATTAACTGACCGAACTGCTAAAACATGAATTTCTCTGAGAAATTCTTAGAATTTCCCCGAGAAAATCTTAGAATTTCTCTGAGATGAAGATGTTTGGGGGCACTCAAGTCCCCTTAAGTAAGTGATAAGGATTTTTAAAAGCATGAACATAGCAACAATTTGTTTAACTTCATACTGTTGAGCTTTTAACAAGTTGTTAAAGTATTAAAGAACTGTTTTTGTAAGACATCTGCAGCATCTCCTAGAACATTTAACATTGCCCTTGTACTGGGAGAAAATGAAAAGCAGAATCCAGACTTCAAGTACCCCTTTCTTGTTCAGCATATGACATGATTCTAGCCAGGGAGACCTATTAAAGTAACTCTTTTATCACAGCTGTGGCCTTCTAGAATATCTTTTGTGTAGAGTGGTGTGGATTTACTGGCTGCAAGAGAGAATGTTGATGAGATCAGCAACTAATTGCACACTTTGAAACTATTCTTATTGCCAGTTGAAAAGATGGTTTCTTAAATGGCTTCTACCTCTTGTATTTAAAGCCTTAACTTCATGTCAGTGTGCAGTGTCTAAGTTAAAAGAAATTTAGTTAGATTTCTCCTTTTCATGGTCATTTTGATTTTGGGAGAAGCAGGAGCTCTGTTTTACTTCTGTGTGTAACTCTTTCCAGGCAAGATATCCCACTTAGGATATGAGTTGGAATGTGGGGTGTGCAGCAGAGGATGGGGGAGTTGGCAGAGCTGACAGTGCCCTTCCTTGCT